ACCCCCGATCTGAGGCGGGGCCGGTCCCCCACTCCCCTCCCCCCTACACACTGGTTTTCGCTCTGTTCTTCCCACCTCCCCAAGGCCTTCCTGCTTCAGAGGCCTTGCACATTCTCTTCCCCCTGCTCCACTCTCTTGACCAGTTTCCGCGACTCATCCCACTTTCAGGTCTCTTCCTCAGAGAAGTCCACTCTGACTACCAGAGGAGGCGGGTCCGTGGTTATACCCTCAGTGAGAGCTGCATCTTCCCTCACAGGTGCGATCCTCAGAATTCTAGTGCAGTTCTTATTTGTGTAATAATGTGTTCAGTGTCTTTGGCTACCATTCAGTGGTGAGAGAAGGGACCAGGTCTGTCATGTATCCCCAGGGTCCAGAAGGCTGTTTGCCATAGAAAGCAGAGGGAGGGAGAGAGGGAGGGATAGATGGATGGATGATTAAATGAATGGACAGGTGGATGGGTGGATGGATGTTTGATGAATGGATGGATGGATGGATAATTGAATGGATATGGATGGACAGGTGGATGCATGGACGGTTGGATGGATGATGGATGAATGAGTGGATGGTCCTCTGCAAGCCTCCAGATCCTCGTCTGTAAGAAGGGCATACCATGGGGAAGTGGCAAGGATTGTTTGGTAGCGTGCAATGCCAGTGCAGTGCCCGGTACACGGGAGATTGATTGATTGAGCTGAGACTCTGAAGGGACTGATGTTCTCCAGAGAAGCCCGGTCAGAGGTTCCTTTAAACATGGCAGAGCCCTGTAAACAGAACTACCCTGGTCCCAGCACTACCTCTCGGCTCCTGGTTGGTGCTGAGCCTGACCCTGCCTTTAAGTAAACAAGGAAATGGCCACCCCTCCCAGCTTTGGTTTCAATCGTTTCTGGTGCCTGGTTAAAGGGATTGTCCTGACATCTCAGAGACGTTCTGGAGCCCAGGGTCATGAGTGGCCCCTGTGGACACTCACCTCCAGACTGCCCAGCTCACAGGCAGCGGATGTCCTAGCCATCAGGGAGAGCATTAAAAATGCGCATCGGCCCCCATCCCTCCTCCGCTCGAACGCTGCAGGGGCTCCCTGTCTCCCTTTCCCACAAAGTCCCTGTGTCAGCCCGTGATCCCTCACACCCCAGAGTACCTCTGCCCCCCACGCAGCCTCCTTGGTGAGCCTGGACGCACCAGGCAAGACCCCCTCAGGGCCTTTGCATATGCTGCTTCCTCCGGCTCTTCCCCCAGATCTCCACCCTTCCTTCCCACAGGCCTCTGCTGAGATGGCGCTTCCCTGACGCACTGAAAACAGCAGCACCCTTGGCCTGGCCTGAACCCCCAACACTGTCGGACACACCAGACAGTTCCTCTGCTTCTCTCCGCCCACTCACCCCCTACTAGAACACCCGCAGAAGCAGGTGCTCCTGTCTGTCCCATTGCCAGCTGTCCCCGCAGCCCTGGTACCCAGTGGGCACTTCAGTGGATGGATGGGTGGGTGGATGGATGGATAGACGGATGAGGAGTTATTCATTCACTCATTCACTGAATAATAATCGAACTAATAAGAGTGGTCAGTAAGTGGCTCCACACGGATCCATCGGTGATAGGGAAGTACCTGGTCGCGGGTTGGTGTGGGGTTCCTAGGTGGGCGCTCGGAGGGCAGCAGGGCGCCCCTCTCTCCGGAAGTGGGGCGAGGCTGAGACCCAAGAGGTGCACGAGAGGGTGCGTGCCAGCCATAGGGAGTGTGTGCGTGTCCTGGGGCGGCAGTCACAAGCGACCACAAAGTGGGGGCTCAGAGCAGCCGAAACCAATTGCCTCCCAGTCTGGAGGCCAGAGTCTGAGATCAAGATGTGGGCAGGGCCATGCTCCGCCCGTAGGGGAGGGTCCTTCCTGCCTCTTCCAGCTTCTGGGGGCTTCTGGAGGCTCCAGGCATCCCTGGGCTGTGGCTGCGTCCCTCCAGCCTCTGCTTCTTCTCCACAGGGCTCCTCTCTCTCTGCATTCTCCCCTCTTCTGTCTCTTCTGAGGACGCGTGTGATCCCTTAAGTTGGTTACATCTGCAGAGACACTTTTCCAAATAAGGTCACATTCACAGGTTCCTGGGGGGCAGGGGGACTCAGGCACATCTTTCTGGGGTCACTACAAACATCCTGGACAAAAGCCCCAATGGGGGGCTTCCCTGGTGGCGCAGTGGTTGAGAGTCCGCCTGCCGATGCAGGGGACACGGGTTCGTGCCCCGGTCCGGGAAGATCCCACATGCCGCGGAGCGGCTGGGCCCGTGAGCCATGGCCGCTGAGCCTGCGCATCCGGAGCCTGTGCTCCGCAACGGGAGAGGCCACAGCAGTGAGAGGCCCGCGTACCGCGCAAAAAAAAAAAAAAAAAAGCCCCAATGGGGAAGGTGAGCGTGACCAGGTGTGACCCTCCCACAGGGCTGAGGGGTGGGGACCGCAGGAACCCTGTTCCCTGGATGTGGCCTGATATGGAAGAGGCCGAGTTGCCCAGAGCAGCATCCGGGCAGGGGCCGCACCTGCCATGTTCACCACAGCACCCCAGGAGGGTGTAGTGCTGATGTGGTGCTTAGCAAACCCCGGGCTCAGCAAACACTTGCGTCAACGGCAGGGGCTTCCTTGAAGTTCCAGCACAAACACAGTGTCCCAGGCCCTGAGGCACCCACTGTGAGGGGCCTGAGGACCCTCCCAAATGAGCTCTTGGCACGGTGCCCGGGGGTCCTCCCCAAGTGCTGTGCCCTGGGCTCCTCCCTGCGTCCCCGGGTCTTGGCTTCCCCAGTATCGGAGATCTGAGGCAGAGGTCCCCAAAGGCCCTTCCTACGTTAAAGTTCTCCTGTTCCAAGAACGTGCGGGGCTTGCCTGTCCGGAAACCCACTCACTTGAGGCACCACCCACCACCCATCAGCTTCACTGAGCAGACAGCTCAGCCCCTGGGCATCGGCAGCCAGGCCTCCCTGTACCCCCTCCCCAGCCACACGTCCCCTTCTTCCCCTCCGCCTGGACCCGCCCTTTGAACCATCCACGGGGTCCTCCTTCTGCCACCCAGGGGCTGCGGTCCTTGAAAATCCCATCGCCGCTGGTTGCCGTCCCCCAGTCTTTCTGTGGCCAGGTCCCCCACGGCCAGGTGTTGTCGCTGTCCCATTCGTGAGCAAGGGCTGGCCCGGTAGCTGTGGCCTCCGAGTGGCCCCAGGCAGGATGATGGTGAGAAGTGGGCCTGTGTCCACGGGCGGGGCCGGCAGGAGGCTCAAACAGGCTCAGAGAACCGCCCAGGGGCACCTTCCCACAGAGGCCTCCCTTGGAGGCCAGGCCAGCAGGCCTCGGGGGAACTGGACAGTTTGGTTTGCTTTGTGAATCTAGATGGACTGGAAATGCACAGCTCCGCACTGGGTGTACCGAGCCGGGCGACCTGGAAATGCTTCAAAGGGCCGGGAGCTGGGCCGGGCGGCCAGTTCACACGGCCATGGTCACTCATGCCACCTGCCAGCTGGTGGTCCCCCCAGACCCTGCACACAGAGCGGGGCCTCCGAGCGCCAGCTCCTCGGCCGTGGGCGCTCCCGCCAGCCAAGCGCCAGCCTCTCTCAACGTCAGATATTAATCACACACTTCCTGATAATGACCAATGGAGGCGGCTTGGCAGAGCGGTTCTGGCAGGGCTCCAGGCCCACCTCCAGCCACGGGAAAGTTGAGGATGGCTAAAGGGATCCTTGGCAAGGGACAGCACATTGTCCCCGGGCTGTGGGAAAGTGCTCCGTGCGCAAACGTTTCCTTAAAGCCAGCTTACGAGGAAACATTTGCGATGGCCCCTTGTTAACCACTGCCAGCCTGGCTGAACGGGACACAGATAAATTAAGGCCCCATCCGCGGCCCAGGCTCTGAGAGCCCGTAAGTGGCCCGATGGAGCCTCGCTGCCCCGGAGCAGGTGGTGGTACCTCTTTTGGTTTTCACACACGTTTCCAGGTTGCCGCCAGGGAAGCCCAGCCCCCTCCCACCCCAAGTGCACTAAGGCTCCAGAGGGCTGTGGCTGGCATCGATGGGCAGTGGCTGCACACGGTGGGGGGCCTTGGGGCCGCCACGCAGGAATGTCGGGGCCTGGCGCAGGTTCTGAACCTGCCAGATGGCCCTGCATCCTGGGACCCAGGCTGGTAGCCAAGGAGGAGCCCTGGGGCTGGGTCCACAGCCCTCCAGGCCTCTGCACAAAGCCATTTGTCAAAGGTGTTTCCCAAACGTCTCTCGAAGGAGCTGCCCTTTGAGAGGCTGGCTTGGGCTCAAGCCAGGCAGAGCCGTCTGGGGCTCTTGGCAAGAGTACCAGCCGTCCTGAGATCCAAAGCCCCTCTCTTGCTTGTCCCCGCTTCTCTGGGCCAGGTGAGCGAGCCACAGGGCACCAGCGGCCGGCGAGGCCAGGGTTGTCTGACCCAGATGACCACACGGGGGTGGGGTCCCCCGGACCCATGCAACCCTCCGTCACACAAGCTCTATGGCGGGGTCCCCTCAAACGGGAGCTTTCCCAGCACCCCACCCCGTGTGGGATCATTAGCTATTTGGCAGAGAGGCACAGAGCGAGGGGGTGTGAAGCCAGAGGGAAGGGAGACCCTGCCGGCTGACGTGGCGTCGGCATCGAGAAGGAAAGACGGTCATACAAGCACGAGGGGCTACCGTAAAACCAACAAAAAGTGAATTCCTCTCCACGGGGCCCCGTTTCTGAACAAGGAGACTAGGTGCAAACAGAGGCATGCTTTCCGCCATGCGGCGGGGGCGCTGGCAGCATGGCGGTCACACTGCCCACGTTTGTTTTCTGGCGGTGGGCACCACACGGCCCAGCGGCCCAGCGGCCCAGCATCCGAGGAAGGACCCTGGGATGTCGCTGATTCCGAGAAAGCCTGCATTTCCCACTCCCAACGTCACCTGTGCCACCCTCCTAGGACAATTCATCTCTAAAGGTGTCTGATAATTATAATAGTTTCCCAGGTTCGTCCTGTTGGCACTCACCATTAATAATGTCAATAAAACCTATGTTGGACCAAAGTATTCGGGAGAGAGACAAGGTACGCAAGACTCTCCTTGACCATCTCCAGGGGCCGGGACCCAAGCCACACACTCAGTGAGGCTGGTTTGTGCTGAGCACCGGCCCTCGGCCAGGCACTGGGGGCCGTGGCGAGGAGGGGGCTTCCTGCTGGTCTCTGGTCCATCCTCACTGCAGGCCGGCCAGGTGGGCACGATCGTTATCCTGTCCTGCAGATGAGAAAACCGAGGTACGAGGGGTTTGTGCAGCCACCGGGCGGCAGGACGTGACCCACGGCCATTCCCGAGGACGCTGCCCCTGTGACGGTCCCACAGTAACCGTCTCTTCTCTGTCCTCTCCATTTCCTTCAGAGAATCAGGCACTGACGTCAGTGTGGTGGTGACGTCAGCAGACCCATTTTACAGACACAGACACTAAGGCCAAGCAGGGTCAGTAACTCACCAAGACCAAACAGCTACCAAACGGCCAGGCCGGCGTTGGAGCCCAAATTGGGCACCAAACTCCAGCCCCGATTCCTGCAGCCCCTCCACGTTGAGTCCCCTTGTGCCCAGCATGCGGCCACTGGAAGTTCTGCTGGGTTCATTCACGTCCCCCGACCCCGGAACCTCAGCACGTGACCTTATTTGAAAACAGGGCCTTGGCGGATGTAACTAAGATGAGGTCATCTGAGTTAGGGTGGGCCCTAAAACCAATGAGTAGCACCCTTATTAGAAGAGAGAACGCAGACAGAGGGACAGCCACGTGGAGACAAGGCAGAGGTTGGAGGGATGCAGCCACAAGCCAAGGATTGCCAGTGGAGCCCCAGAAGCTAGAAAGGGCAGGAAGCACCCTCAGCGCCTTCGGAGGGAGAGTGGCCACGACAACGCCTTGATCTAGGACTCCTGGCCTCCAGGCTGTGAGAGGAGAAACCTCTGTTGTTTAAAGCCACCCAGTTGTGGTGCTTTGCTCCAGCCTCCCAGGAAGGTAGTACTTCACCCCAGCGCCCTGTGTTCCGGGAGGAGGAGTCATGCAGGTCAGCTTCCGCGCTGCCACGTGACCTTTCTCTTCCTGCCACGTTACCAGTTGACTGGGGATGTGGGTGAGCTTGGTTCTGGAAAAAGAGAAACAGGAGCCAGGACTCTCCCCCAAGGAGCACGGGTCCCAGTCCACGAAGGACGGCTGATCCTCCTGCCAGGACCCAGGAGGGGCCCTTCTCCAGCCTGGGTGGCCTCACCCCCACCCGCAGCCCCCCTCCCCCGCCGCGGTCCACCCGACAGGCAGGGGCAGAGCTCCGTCCTGCACACCTTCGCGGCCACGTGGTCAAGCAGTCACTGCCCTTTAGTTATGCGGCAGAATTACGTACCCGGCGGAAAGCGAGACCATCCGGTCCCAAGCACCCCCAAACACGTTCCTCGTGTCTCAAAACAGTGCTAAAGGCATCTGATCAGGGTGAGAGCGTTCCCAGAGCGGGGTCTCCCAGCCCTGAGAAACCCTCCTCGAGGCCCCAGTGCCGGCCGGTCTCCTGCCCCTGCCAGCACGGGTCGGGCTCTGGAAGGGACTCGGCCCGTTTCCCTCAAGCTCCTCACCCCACGACACCTCTGGACACCTCTGACGGTAACAATATCCCCCTCCTTCTGAGCGAAAATCAGTCTCACTGGGGTGACCTCTAACCCTGGACAATCCCCAACATAAGCGGCCAACACTTCGGTTTCCGGAAGCAGCCAGACAGGCACGCACAGGGGGTGGGGTGTTGATGCTGGGGGGAGGTGTTCTGGAATGTTCTCAGCCCCGGTTCCCTCCTCTATAAGACAGAAATGAGAACGCATGAGCCTCTGGGGGCAAAGAGAGACGCCCTTGGCAGGCACCCGTCTGCCCTGATGCGGGCCGAGCCCCCAGAGGTTTATTTAACCGTTTTTCCAAGAATGTGAGCTCGGGTCCCTTTCACTCCCCTCCTTGTTGATTTCCCTGGAGCACAGATAGTGAGCCAGAACCTCTTCCAGCCTCTGGGGTGGGAGGTTGCTGGCCCTGGACAGAGAAGAGTTGGGATCTGTCCCCTTGTTTCCTCGTGGTCCATCGTCCTAGCTACATCCTGGTACCTCCCAGGCACCACTGAGCCACGCCTCCAGGGCCTGGGCCCACCTCACGGAGCCCCGTCTTTTGCTCCAGGGGGCAGGAACAGGAGTTGAGCCAGAGGCAGTCAGCCCCCAGGGGTCTCTGGGCCCAGAGTAGACAGGCTTGAGTCCCTCTGCCAACCAGGTGTGACTTGGCCCCAGTCCAGGTGACAACAAGCCTCTCCAGCGAGAGGCAGAGCAGATCCCACATCTGAGCACAGGACACACAGCCCTGGCAGACGACCAGGGACCTCTCCCCGCCTGACCCCGCCTGACCCCACCCGGGCCAAGTGGCCACACCTCCCACAGTGGGGGACCCGGGCAGGACAACGGGGTGCAAGGAGGGGGCTTCGTCCTCTCACCTCACCTTGCCCCCCTCCACCCAGCCCCGCGGCTGCTCGGAAGTGGGATGGGGCAGCCCTGGGGGTGGGGCACGGGGTCAGGCCGCCAGTCATTCATTCATTCAGTCAATAGATGCTTACAGAGCACCCACCACTTGCCTAGCAGTATTCTGGGCACCGGGGACTTGGCAGAGGATACAGTAAAGTCCTCGCCCTTGCGGAGTTTACATTCCGGTAAGAAAGGCAAACAACAGACAGATACCACACTCAAGGCACCGTGCGGAGGGGTCACACCGAAGAGACCTGGGGAGGCGGGGGAGGGGGGAGCCCACCCGAGACCCAGGTTCCTGGGAAATATGGCCGCACGAACCGAGCATCCACAGAAGTGCGAGGTCTTTCCAGCCACGACGGAGGGGCCCTCACTGCCCGCCCCCAGCACCCAGACTCTCCCTGCGGGCAGCTGAGGTGGACACCTCCGGTGCCCCTGCGGGGGAGACGGGGCTCCACGGTGCCACCGCAGCGGCCGGCAGGCGGACCCGGCACCGGGGTCACTCCAGACCCACCCAGAGGGGTTCCTGCGGCCAGAGAGGCCCGGGCCACCACGCTGCCCGCAGGACGGCGCCGCCCGCCGAGTGTGGTCACGCCATCCCCCCACTGTCAGGCCAGGGTGCCCTCCGTCGCATAGCCTGCAATTCAGCAGGTGCTCACTGCCGGCCCAGACACATCACTGCCACCGCTCCGGTCCCCTGGCGTCCCTCAGACCAGCTAAAGCAGTGACAAGGGAGCCCTAAAGGAGGCAGTGCCCGCCAGAGGACGTTCCCGGCACGGGCCTGGGAGCCAGGAAGGCTGCGGGAGGAGGAGACCCTTTGCAGAGAAGGGAGGGGGGAAAGTTCCAGACTGGGGCACCTGGCCCCGGGCTGAGCGGGGCGGCGCTGGAGTTGGGGTGGGGCTGGGGGTGGTCTAGGCCAGGCCTCCGGGGACCCCCGTCGCTGGAGCTCTGCTGCCCTCTGCTGGCCAGCTCTGGTACTGCGTACATGCCGGGGAGCGTCTCCGGGCGTGTCCTACCTGGCCCTCTACCGGGCCCTGCCTCTGGATGCCCAGGGCCTCTGCCTCCAGCCCCCACCTGTATGCAAGTCACCTGTGGGACCCCCAGCCCACTGCCATCAGGGGCAGAGGAAGAACCTGCATTTCCTGTCACCTGAGTGTCTGGTTGATTGACAAGGTGCCCGCTCCAGGCTCACAGGCAGCCCTTCCATCCTATCTCGCACACCGGGCAACTAAGGCCAGAGGAAAGAAAGGGCCCCGTCACAGAGCAGGGTCCTACTGGGCTGGGGTCAAGCCCTGGCCTGTGTGACCTCCAAGCCAGATGGTCACCTGTGCTCTGCTGTGGGTCAGCAAATCTCCCACTCAGTCAGTGGGCCTTCTGGGAGGTCCCCTAGACCCCTGTGGCTTATGGGGCCACACTAGGACGGCTGGTAGCCCACGGGTGGCTGGAACGCCCACCTCCATCGCGCAGCCGCAGGCCTGACACGTGGACCCATTGCCTTAGGGCCCAGGGCAGGCTGTGTGGATTGTTCCCGTGGTACCTGGACCCCGAAAGTCACAACGTACATCTTCTTCCCGGCTCACCCAGGCTCACCCTTGGGGCCAGACCCAGGCTGTTTGGGCCTAGATGTGTCCCAGAAGTTGCTTTGGGTCACCTCCCTAAGAACAGCGGGAAACAGGACAGAGCATCGTCTGTTTTGCTTTTTTCCCTTGAGCACTGGCCCCACTGGACGGGTCTGGGCCACCTGGAGCCTGTGATCTGAGGTCTCAAGGAGCTTAGCAAAAAAGAAAAGCTGCAGCCGCTTCGCACATTGTCAGGGGCTGCGTGAGTGTCCTGGGGTGGCCGTGACGAGGTATCACGAACGGCGCTTTGGGCACTCCTCCCAAAGGCTCTAGGGGAGGGTCCTTCCTCCAGGGGCTCCAGGCTTCCCTGTGCTTGTGGCCACACCCCTCCAGCCTTGCTTCCGTGGCCACGTGGCCTCTCCTCCGTGTGTCTCTGCGTCCTCTCCTCTTCTTGTACAGACACCTCATCCTGTTCAGGGTCCACCTTCAATCCAGGGTGGCTTCATCTCAAGATCCTTAACACAATCACATCTGCAAAGACTATTTCCATATTAGCGCACCTTCCCAGGTACCAGGGGTAAGGACTCAGACATATATTTTGGGAGGGGTCACTACTGACTTCCCTACAGTGGTGCCAGGGAAGGGAACACCCCCAGTGGCTCCGAGTCCTGCCCCTAGCCAGCAGCAAGAGCATCCCCTAGGAACTGGTTAGAAATGCAAATTCCCAGGCCCATCTCCCCAGGCCTGCTGAATCAGAAACTCCAGGGTGGAGCCCAGCAAGCTGTGTTCTGTAAGCCCTCCAGGCGTCCTGAGATGTGCTCAAGTTTGGGGACCACCTAAATGATTCCAGAAAACATCCCTTCCTGCCTCACTAACCCATACGCACAAGAGCCCTGCTTGGGGCTGCACTGGGTGCCACGTTTACTGGGACTCATTTTACTTATTAGGATTGAGGAGACATGAGACACGTCGTTCCCAGGCCCACACCCACCAGTGACTTAGGGGTGGGGTCAGTGGTGGAACAGAGAGAAAGGGCAGTAGGAACTGGGGAGGGGGTTCATTCCTGCGGGGGGACCAGAGAGGTCTCCCGGCAGAGGGGGCTGGGTCAGCCCCCCACCAGCCACGGCCGACATCAGAACTGAGCTACTTTCACCATCCTAATTCAGCGACCACGGGGAAGAATCCTGCCACAGTTCCACCTGTGAGCGTGCATGGGAAAAGTCAAACTCTGAGGGCTTCCCTGGTGGCGCAGTGGTTAAGAATCCTCCTGCCAATGCAGGGGACACGGGTTCAAGCCCTGGTCCGGGAAGATCCCACATGCCGCGGAGCAGCTAAGCCCGTGCGCGACAACTACTGAGCCTGCGCTCTAGAGCTCGCGAGCCACAACTACTGAGCCCGCGTGCCACAGCTACTGAAGCCCACGCGCCTAGAGCCCGTGCTCCGCAACAAGAGAAGCCACCGCAATGAGAAGCCCGTGCACCACAATGAAGAGTAGCCCCCGCTCACCACAACTGGAGAAAGCCCGCACGCAGCAACAAAGACAAATAAATAAATTTATTTTTTAAAAAAAATCAAACCCCATTGTGTCATTCCCTTCTATATGAACACAGGCCACAAGCCAGGGTGACGGTAGGACCACCGGCCCGTCATCAGCAGAAATCACAGGCACATTTCTCACTGTGGCCACTTTTGCCCATGTCTCGAAACAGGCTACGGGGTCTGCTCTGTCACACGTGTGGGTCTGTTGCTGTTTTGTTGACAACTTTTCAACATCATTTCCTTGCACCCCGTGTTTTTTAGGTTATGTTTTTGGCAGGTGCCCAAGGGCCACTGGCATCACGAGGGCTATAGGCTTTAACCCTCTGTCCAATCTAGAACTTTCTAGTTCATTTTAAAGCAGTTTGCCCCTACTTTTCCCACAATCAGGACATAGTATGGAGGGAAGGGTGGGCATTCAGTCCTTTCTTTAAACATCTCTCACGTTCCCGCCATCCAGAGGAAAGACCCACCAGCCCGAGAATTTCTGGGTTTGCCTCTGTGCAGACACACCAG